TTTTTTTTTTTAACACAAATGGGAGTGTATTATACCTACCCCCTGGTTTGACCTTTTAAAAAATATATATACGAGGGTACCAAAAAAATGTATACACATGGCTTGTATTCATCTTTTGTTATCGGTATATATTATTACAATTTTAACAGTTTTTTCCTTTCTTAAAATGTGTATACATTTTTTTGGCACCGTGTGTGTGTGTGTGTGTTCCTCATTCTTTTTTAGCAAATACTTGATATTTCATACCTTAATTTCTTCAACCAGCCCCCTACTGTCCTCACAGAGCTCCCAGCCTGGGGGGGGAGGTGAGAAAAGAGAGTGTGACATGCCCGGAGTCCTCGGTGAAGCGCCTGCCCAGCATCCATGAGCTCAGGCTTGGAATGTGCTGCCAACTCCCTGGATGGTGTCCCCAAGCTGCTGCCCCTGCCAGCAACCCACCACCACCACTCTGGATTAATCCAGACCCCACAGAGAGGCACCCTGAGCCCAACGGTGGATCTGCAGCCCAATTTCCCCAACCCATGTGTTCCCTAAGATGCAAAAATGCCAGGAAAACAGGTCCTGGGAGGAGTCTGACAAGTCTCACCTGGAGAGAGAGGAGTTTGGAGGGAGAATGGGGTGGGGTTGGGGGGTGAGGCATGCAGGATGGGAGCAGAGAAGGGCTGGGATGGAGGTGGGGGTGGGATCTCTACAGGCTACAGCCCCATGAGGGCACATCTCTCTGGGCCACTCTTGGAGCTGCTCCCTGGGAAAGGCTGAGAACCTTCTGAGGTACTTAGGAACTGAGTGGGAGCAAGGACTGCACACCCTGCAGGAGCTGCTTATGAGCCAGGACCAGGGAAGGGGGACTTTGTGTCTGCAGCTGGGGACAGGGGACAGAGGAGCTGGCAAGCTTAGTGGACTCCCATGTTCTCTTTCAGTCCAGGGTCCGAATTCTCTGGATTGGCAACCCTCCTCTGACCTGTTCCCTGTCTCTAAGCAGTATCACTCAGGTCTAACAATCTGGAAAAGTCTACACCGGCCTCCAAAAGAACTCAGAATCCTTTTAGAAAATAGTCTTTCTATAGGTCCCACCACAAAGCCCCACTCAACCCCTCCTTGTCCAGAAAGGCAGCCTGAAAGCTTGCAGCACTTGGGGAATAGTGGCAAGAACAGTGATCTTGGAGTTAGAAGCTCAGGTTCTAGTCCCAGACCTGCTGGTATTGATCTTGTCTGAGTCCCTTTCTCTGGCCCTCAGTTCCCCATTGTGTAAAATGAAGAGAATGCCCATCCTGTGCTGCTGCTACTGCTGCTGCCCCTTAAGGATCCAATGGCGAGACCTTAACATGCTCACCAGCCCTGCCCCAGGGCCAGTCCAGGCTCTCACATGGCCCATGCCCCCGCCAACTTTGTGTGTGATCCTTTAGTTCCTCAAATCTGCCCAGCTCCTTTCCTTACCCTTCCGGGGTATTCATCGACATTTCCTCAACCCGGCCTCCCCTGCCTCTTCTCCTAGTCGATCACAATTTAATTCATTTTAAATGTCACTTCCTTTTGGAGGCTTCTGGCTGGGTACCCTTGTATTTCTTCACAGCATCACAGCTATAACGCAAATCTTTACGTAAGTATTTGGTTCTAGGTCTCCCCCAGAGAGGGGTTGGCAGTGCCTGGTACCAAATAAACTCCAAATAAATATTTTTTGGATGGATGAAAGGGATTTGCGTGTGAAAGCGCGTTGTACCAGACGGCGCTTGTGAAGGTATAGCAGGTCACATGCGGCCCTAGACTTCTGATGTTACTGGGGTCATGCGCTCCCGCACCACGTGCAGCCAGAGCACACCCTTATGCCTCATCTGAGACCCGGAAGCCAGTCTCAGGGCTCTCTGCGGGTACTTAAACCTTCAGGTCCACGTGACCTGAAGCCCGCAGCTGATTGGACCCGGGCCGTCCCGCCCCGCCCCCGAGTCCCGAGTCGGTTTCCGGCAGGGCAGCTGCCGGGCTCAGGCCGCTGGACCATGGAAGCAGTAGCTCTGGGGTTCCTGCTCCTGGCCTTGGCGGGGAGCTCTGCCGGAGACGAGGCCCGGGAAGCGGAGGCCGTGCGGGCCCTGCTGACCCGGCTTCTGGGGCCCGGGCCAGCGGCCGCCTTCTCGGTGTCGGTAGAGCGCTCCCTGGCGGCCGAGTCTGGCCTGGACACCTACCGCTTGAGCGGCGGGGGCGCTGGGGCGCAGGTGCGGGTGCTCGGCTCCACCGGCGTGGCCGCTGCCGCAGGACTGCACCGCTACCTGCGCGACTTCTGCGGCTGCCACGTGGCCTGGTCCGGCTCTCAGCTGCGCCTGCCGCAGCCGCTGCCCGCCCTGCCGGACGAGCTGACCGAGGCCACGCCCAACAGGTACGGGCGGGGCCCGCCCGTCGGCCCCCCTGCAGCTGCCTCCCGCTCCAGCCCCCAGGCGCCCACACCTTGCTGAAGTCCCCGCCCCACCCACCCCAGCGCTGGCTTGATAGGAAGCGCCGGCCTAAGGGTTGCACAACTCTGGCTTCAGATTTCTGGCTGTTGTCCAGCTAACTCAAAGTCTGGAGACTTTGGCTAGAAATAAATGATAAAGATTTATTCAAGGGTCTTAGGGATTATAAACCGGAAACACAACTGGGCAATACCCAGAGTATTCTGAAGAAGAAAAGAGTTCTCATACGAAAAGGTAAATTCTTGAGAAGAACCAGTCCTGCATTCTTAGCCTCTGGATTGGTCCGAGATGGTAATCTGGGCTGGACATCGGATGGCAGGTGGTCTGGATAGTGCCCATCCTTTCCTTAGTCTTTCGCGGGTAATCAGAGGGTTATCTGGATGTTTGATGTAGAGCCAGACATTGGCAGGACTGGAAATTTCAAAACTTGAAGTTCCCAGCATAATTAAGAATAGAATCGTTTCCCTATGCCTCAACCTACTTGATTTTAGTCCTTTTGCAGCTTGACTATAGTGACTATGTTTCATTTCTTCACTGCTCCTCAGCTTCTAAAGGCTGGGTGTCCTTGAGCAAGTCACTTAGCCTCTCAGAGCCTCAGTTGGCTCATGTGAAAAATGGAAACAATGACATCTACCATGCGGTGTTGGTCGTGAGGATTTACACAGTGATGGGAGTAGAATGAGTGATGCATGATTGGCGAGCAGTGAATGCTATTTCTTTCCCCACCCTCTCTTTAAACATGCTTACTGAGGAATGACACCCATCCCTCCACGGGCTGCTGTTCTAGCACTTGCCCCACTGCATGGAGGTGATGTGTTCCCCCTTCCAAGACAGGACCAACTTTGCCATATAGCACTTAAACACTGCACAGCATAGGGGATCTAGAAGAGTTGAAGGGAATATGCTCTCAAATATCTGCCGGGTAGAGGGCCCTGGAAGAGTGCTGGGGGCAGGTGGGTGGGTACCTCAGAAGCTCAGGACCTGGTGAATTCCCGAGTGAAGCAGTGGAGGGGCCACGTTTGGAATCCCTTGCCTCTGGGCTAGATCTGGGGTCAGGCTGCCCTCTGAGATCTTCCAGAACAATGGCCCCTTAGGGGTGGGGGGCATCCTCTTTGCCCCGAGACACACACCCTAGCTCATGCCCCTGCCCACAGGTACCGCTATTACCAGAATGTTTGCACGCAAAGCTACTCCTTCGTGTGGTGGGACTGGGCCCGCTGGGAGCAGGAGATCGACTGGATGGCGCTGAATGGGATCAACCTGGCACTGGCCTGGAGCGGTCAGGAGGCCATCTGGCAGAGGGTGCGTGTCCACCTACCACATGGGCCACCCCAGGTGTCCCCCAAGCCCTGCATCTGCACAGTGTCTGGCACACAGAGAATAAGGGCTCCAGCAGTGTTTGTGGCATGCACGATGGCTCCAGCCCTCTGGAAACTGGTTTCCACTGCTGAGACAAACAGGAGCACTTACGGAGGGCTGGACCCCAGCACCCCACTGTAAACACTTTAAGAATCTAGGACTCCTCTCTCTCCCTACCCTACCTCCTGTCAGTCGGCTGCTTCTACAGATTCCATCTCGTTAGCAGCTCTTGATCTGCCTTATCCTCTCATTCTTAGTTATGGCCCTAGTTCAGGCCCTTGCGTCCTCTCCCTGGACCCCTGCAAAAGCCTCTGAACAGGACTCCTGGCTTTCCAAGTTCCACCAGAGTGTCCTTTTTGAAATGCACATCTGGATGAGACCTTCCGCTAACACACTCTGGAGTGCCTCATTGCCTTCAGTCTTTTCCAGGCCTGGGAGTTTCCATCCCCGGGCCCTGAGGGCTCTGGCTGCACCTGGGGCTGCTTAAACTTCCCGCAGAGCTATCCTCACCCATCATTCTAGCCAACCTTGCTCTGTGAAGCCTTCTCAGTCCCCTTCCCCACTTTGGAGAAAGTCCCTTTGGTTCTCACCTCACCTGGGCAACAAGGGTGACAGATTAGTAACCTCACCTATTCTGTTTCTCCTGGACTGTGGGCCCCTTGCAGGCAGGGGTTGCATTTTTGTCTTAGTAACTGTATGGCATAGCACAGAGAGGATGTTGAGTGAATGTTGAATAATCAATCTGAATGGAGATGAATGTATTTATATGTAAGGGGATCACCTTCCTCCTCAGGTGTACCTGACCTTGGGCCTGACCCAATCAGAGGTCGATGAGTACTTCACTGGTCCTGCCTTCCTGGCCTGGGAGCGCATGGGCAACCTGCACACCTGGGGTGGCCCCTTGCCACGTTCCTGGCACCTCAAGCAGCTTTACCTGCAGGTAAAAGGATGGGGAAAAGAAGGGGCAGAATTGGTGCTGGACAGTCATGGGCTCAGGGAGGGTGGTATTTGGCCAGCCTTAGGGCTCTAAACTGGACCCTGGGGACTCTGTGTGCTCTGGGGGAGTGAAGGCCTCCCACCTCGGGCCATGCTCACCAGCTCCCCCTCCCATTCCTCCCAGCATCGGATCCTGGACCGGATGCGCTCCTTTGGCATGGTCCCCGTGTTGCCTGCATTCGCAGGGCATGTCCCCAAGGCTATCACCAGGTGAGGTTCCTCCCCCTCAGCTCAGAGAGGGAATTTATTTTCCCCTGCAGGATGTGATTTAAAGAAAAACAGAAGCTCTGGATATAGGCCCTGGCTTGATTCCTGGCTCTGCTACCCATTTAACACTGTGACCTTGGACAGGTTATGTGACTGCTCTGTGCCTCAGTTTCCTCACTTGTAAACTATACATGACTTGGCACAGAGTCTTAGCAAATGGCAGCTCTTATGAGTGGTAGTAGGGGAACACTGGTCTCTGACATTCCTGCTTACCTGCTCCTCTGTGCTACCCACCCAGCCTCTCTTGTGATTGGGAAAATCCTTCAAGGACCAGCTGAGGTCTCCCCTTCTTCAGGAAGCCTTGCTGGGCCCCCAGCGTTGGCTATCACCTCCTTGGTGCCCATGAGCACCTGGTTCCCACCATTCTCACAGTGCTTAGCACGTGCTGCCGGCCTCACTGGCCACCCCTTCGTCTCTCTGACTGGGTGGCAGCAGCCTCATACATACATTCAGTGAACGTTTGTTGGGCTGTCTGGGGCTGCCAGGCCAGGCTCTGTGCTGGTCGGTCTCTGGGGAGGCAGCGACAAAGGTGCACTGAGTTCCTAACCCCTGGTGGGAGGCAGGTTGGCAGGGAACTACAATACAGTGATAGGGCGGGAATCTGTGTGGGCTCAGCCTACTTCTCTGTCAAGGTCACTTCTGCCCGGAGGAGAGGGGCAGCAAGGATTCAGAGCAGAGGCAGCACTAGGCCAGACCTTGAAAAATGAGCGTTGCTTGCGTCAGCCAGTGGGAGGGAAGAGACAGCAAAAGCTTTCCAGACCAGGTGGAACTTACAAGACATTGATGGGTAACCAGCTGGGTCAGCAGGGAGTGAGGAGGAAAGGCCTCTAGGCACAGGGCACAGTATGTGCAAAGGCACGGAGGCATGAGAGGCCAGGATGAGTTCCAGGAATCGCAGATAAGATAATGAGGCTGGTGATGAAATACTGTGTCAGCCTCCAGTAAATGTCTGGACTGTCCTTCCCCAACTAGGGTGTGTCCTCAGGTCAATGTCACCCAACTGGGCAGTTGGGGACACTTCAACTGCTCCTACTCGTGCTCCTTCCTCCTGGCTCCAGATGACCCCTTATTCCCTATCGTGGGGAGCCTCTTCCTGCGGGAGCTGACCAAAGAGTTCGGCACAGATCACATATATGGGGCTGACACGTTCAACGAGATGCAGCCCCCATCCTCAGAGCCCTCCTACCTCGCCGCAGCCACTGCTGCCGTCTACCAGGCCATGATCACAGGTTCGGTGCCCAGGGGAGGTAGGGAAAGGGATCCCCTCGACCCTCAGGGAGATGGGGCTGGGAGAGCGGACGGGGAATAGTAATACCTCACTGTGACACAAAGCTCCTTACGGTTTACCAATATTTGTACACCCACATCATCTCATTTAATCACTGATTGAGAGGTGAGCTCTGGAATGAGGCAGCCTGCTCAAACCCTGGCACTGCCAGTTCCTGCCTGTATGACTTACAAGTTACCTCGCTCCCACTGCCTCAGTTGCTTCATCTGTAAAATGGAGCTCATAAGTAGAATGATGCCTGGCCCAGAGTAAAGTGTCATTAAGTGATGGCTATTGAAAATATCCTATTTGGTCTCTACCTCCATGCTGAGGTACATAGCACAGGCCAGAGACTAGGGGATGTGCCCAAAGCTGGTAGGTGCTCTTCCTGGTGCACAAATGTGAACCCAGTGCTCTCTCCTGCCACGTGCAGGGGAGGGGCCAGGTCAGGAGTGGCTTGGTCGGGAGGCTTCTGTGTCAGTCAAGAAGGGAATAGGTTGGCTCCGGTTTCCATGAGCAGCACTGCTCCAGGTCTGACCCAGGACCCGCAGCATCAGCCCAGAGCCTGTCAGATCTGCAAATCCAGCCTCTTCTCCAACCCTCCCCCACCTTCTGAATCAGAATGACCAGGGCAAGGCCCAGTAATATGTGTTTTAACCAGCCCTCTGGGTGATTCTGATGCCCCATAAAGCTTGATAACACGCCTGGAGCTCCCAGCTGGGGGCAGGAGGCGATGGGAAGGGCATATGTAACGAAATGCCTTGCTGGTTGAGGGGTGCAAGGGAAGGGGAAGGAGGTATCCTGGGATAGAGTCATTTAACTTCTCTGGACTTCTGTTTTCTCATCTGTAGAATGGGGTGAATGTTCTCCTGGTCCCTTCTCCTCTCATCACCCCTCTTTTCTGTCCCCCCGACCACAGTGGACCCTGATGCCACGTGGCTGCTCCAAGGCTGGCTCTTCCAGCACCAGCCCCAGTTCTGGGGGCCTGACCAGGTGAGGGCTGTGCTTGGGGCAGTACCCCGTGGCCGCCTCCTGGTCCTGGACCTGTTTGCAGAGAGCCAGCCCGTGTACAGCCGCACAGCCTCCTTCCAGGGCCAGCCCTTCATCTGGTGCATGCTGCATAACTTCGGGGGAAACCATGGCCTGTTCGGGGCCCTGGAGGCCGTGAACCGAGGCCCCTTGGCTGCCCGTCTCTTCCCCAACTCCACCATGGTAGGCACGGGCATGGCACCGGAAGGCATTGGCCAGAACGAAGTGGTCTATGCCCTCATGGCTGAGCTGGGCTGGCGGAAGGACCCAGTGACAGATTTGGGGGCCTGGGTGACCAGCTTTGCGGCCCGGCGGTATGGGGTGTCCCACGGGGATGCAGAGGCAGCATGGAGGCTACTTCTCAGGAGTGTCTACAACTGTTCTGGTGAGGCCTGCAGAGGCCACAATCGCAGCCCGCTGGTCAGGCGGCCATCCCTACAGATGGTTACCACTGTCTGGTACAACCGATCAGATGTGTTTGAGGCCTGGCGACTGCTGCTAACAGCCACCCCCACCCTGGCCACCAGCCCAGCCTTCCGCTATGACCTGGTGGACATCACTCGCCAGGCGATCCAGGAGCTGGTCAGCTTGTACTATGAGGAGGTGAGGACCGCCTACCTGAACAAGGAGCTGGTTCCCCTGTTGAGGGCAGCAGGCATCCTGGCCTACGAGCTTCTGCCCTCACTCAACAACATACTAGCTAGTGATAGCCGCTTCCTGCTGGGCAGCTGGCTGGAGCAGGCCCGGGCGGCAGCGGTCAGTGAGGCCGAGGCCCATTTCTATGAACAGAACAGCCTCTACCAGCTGACCCTTTGGGGGCCAGATGGCAACATTCTCGACTATGCCAACAAGCAGCTGGCAGGACTGGTGGCCAACTACTACACCCCCCGCTGGCAGCTCTTCATGGAGATGCTGGTTGAGAGTCTGGTTCAAGGCACCCCCTTCCAACAGCACCAGTTTGACAACAATGCTTTCCAGCTGGAGCAGACCTTTGTCCTCAGCACACGGAGGTATCCTAACCAGCCCCAAGGCGACACTGTGGACTTAGCCAAGAAACTCTTCCTCAAATATTACCCCCGGTGGATGGCTGGCTCCTTGTGACAAATTACCCACCGCTGGGCCATGTTCTCCCCAACTCCAGGCCTGGGCTGGTTCCCGGGGTCTGGAGCTGGGCCAGCATCACTGGAGGTCCTCAGATCTGGGCGAAGGAATTCAAGACCTGCTGGTACAATCGAGTAGGAAATTTGGAGGGAAGTGAGCTGCCCTCTACCACTCCAACTTTGGGATCAAAGTACTGTTTTAATACAACTTAATAAACTAATGAATCACCTGGGTCTGTCTGTCAAAACATCACTGCCATGATGCTGGGAGGACTCAGGGCTATAGCATGGACACATGTGGGGCCAGTTCCCCCTGCCCCCTTGCCTTAGTCTCCCATTTTTAATACTAACCTCTGACCTTTGAACTGAGAATGCATTTCCTTTCATACCCTTTGGAAACTATAATCGTCCCTGTGGGACACAGGCATTCCCAAGAGAAGATCTGCCCAGGGCACTCAGTGCCCACGTGGAAGCCCACACCTCCTGCTTGCAAAGCTTCGCCCTCCCTCCTACCAGCAACTAAAGAAAGGTGGTCCAAGCAGTGGCCTCACCTCTGTCTTTACCTAGAGCAGGGTGGGGAGAGCAGGCCAGGGACCTCTGGAGTGTTCAGCCTTGAAGTGCTGAAGACACAACAAGGGGTGGGGACCCTTGCGGGCAGGGGCGGGGCGAAGTAGGTGATATCTAGTTCAGAGACCTGAGCCTAGAACTCCCAGAGCCTCTTCCATACACGTCTCCCCATGGACCGCACAGTGGTTCTCATCACCGGCTGCTCCTCCGGCATCGGCCTGCACCTGGCCCTGCGTCTGGCCTCCGATCCATCCAGGAGCTTCAAAGGTACATGAGGGAACTGAGATGGGGAGAAGGGAGCAGCCCCTGGTCCAAGTGGACCTAGGTAAGGTAAGCAGAGCGCTCGGATCCTCATCCTCTCCCCCAACCTCCAGTGTATGCCACACTCCGGGACCTGAGCACGCAGGGCCCGCTGTGGGAGGCTGCGCAGTCCCGAGGGTGCCCTCCTGGCTCCCTGGAGACGTTGCAGCTAGATGTGCAGGATGCAGATTCCGTGGCAGCAGCCCGGGCTCGCGTGACTGAGGGACGAGTGGACGTGCTGGGTGAGCCTCCCTGAAACATGTGCAGGAGCCTTCCCCACCCTGTGTCCAAACCAAGGTGTCCTGAGGTCCAGGGAACAAGAGGGGTCCAGCTGGTGGGGAGGGTGGTGCGTGAGGCAGGCGGGATTGGGCCTCTCCCCTCAGTGTGCAACGCAGGCCGGGGCCTGCTCGGGCCGCTGGAGGTGCACTCAGGAGACGCAGTGGGCTCCGTGCTGGATGTAAACGTGGTCGGGACGGTGCGGATGCTTCAGGCCTTCCTACCAGACATGAAGCGCCGCCGCTCTGGACGCATATTGGTGACCGGGAGCATGGGAGGCTTGATGGGTGAGTGGAAGAGGCTGTGCCTGGTGAGACTGGCACCGGGCTGCGGTGGCGCGGCAGGCTCTGTGCGGATCCACGCCTCAGCAGCCTCATCTCCCCTCAAAGGGATGCCTTTCAACGCTGTTTACTGCGCCAGCAAGTTCGCGATCGAAGGTTTATGTGAGAGTCTGGCGATTCTGCTGCTGCCCTTCGGAATCCAGTGAGTCACCGCCCAGCCCCTGGAGCCCTCTGAACCCTGACTTTGGGAAACCCTATACCCATTTTATACCCGTCTTATTGGAGTTGCTCCCAGGCGCTCTCCCTGGCCCCTCTCTACTGCGGCTCACATTTGTGTGTGCCAGGCACTGCGCTGGCCCCGCGGCACAAGTGCGACCCAGCTGGTGAGTTGTCGGTATTGTTATTGGGAAGCTCAGGCTCAGAGAGGTTAGGTGACTGGCCCAAGGTCACACAGCTGTACGTGACCCAGCCAGGTTAGAATTCTGTCGCCAGAGCCGCTCACCCTCAAATGATGTGGAAGTGCTTTGGGGGCAGTGAACTGCTTTTCAAGTTCTCTGGTTAACCTAAGCACCTACTGCACGTCGCTCCCTCCCTCTCCGGTGGGGTCCGGTCAGGGGCCTGGCTGGGGTGAAGTGAGCCTGCTGGCCACAGCCCGCACCCACGCGCCACTCTCGGGCTTGCAGTGTGAGCCTCATCGAGTGCGGCCCGGTACACACTGCCTTCCAGAAGAAGGTGCAGACCGGCCCCCGCGTGGCGCTGGACGACTTGGACGCTCAGACCTGTGACCTCTTCTCCCGCTACCAGCGCCACTTCGAGCGGATCTTCCGCAAGGAGGCGCAGGACCCGGAGGAGGTGACAGAGGTGGGCGCCCGGGCAGGACTCTGTGAGCAGGGGAGCGGGGAGGGGCAGCACTGGAGTCCTCGAGCCCAGCCCCGGCCAGCATGTCTCCACCCTCTACTGCAGGTCTTCCTCACTGCTCTGCGCGACTCGCGGCCAGCCCTGCGCTACTTCTGCTCCGAGCGCATCCTGCCCCTGGCACGGCTGCGCCTGGCCGACCCCAGCGGCTGCAGCTACATCGCCGCCATGCACCGCTCAGTGTTTGGCGACGAGCCAGCCGAGGGTCCAGAGGGCGCCCAGACACGGGCCAGAACCGGAGAACTGGGGGACCCTGAGCTGGGCACTTCCCCCTCTGCCCCACAATAAAGACTTGGCTCCCCACAGTCTCCCTCTCTCTCCTTTGCGCGCCCCGGGGATGTGCGGTTCTGGAGGATGAAGCGGGGGCTGATGACTTGCACTGCAGTGGAGGGTTGCAGCGGGTGGGCGTTCAGGAAAGACCTCCTTATCCCAGTTACCCCTCCGTGGAAACCTCCCAGAAAGAGGGAGGAGCTAGCCAGGGTTTAGCCGCAAGCCCAGCCCGCCCGCGGCTCTTATCTGCAGCAGAAGTTAGGCACTTGGATGGGGGTAGAGTCAGTTTGTGACTTGCCCCACACACATACACACACACACAGGTCATGGGACCTCATGCAAGGTCCATACCTTCTCTGAGTCTGTTTTCTTATCTGTAAAATGGGTATAATCCCTATATCATGGATCATAAGGATTAATTGAGATAATGCCTGAAAGTGCTGGTATAGAGGTCTTAATAGCTGACACAGCTATTGTTATTACTACTAGTGATATTATTAGTATTGTAATTGTATTCCCATGCAGAAGCCAGATGTGTAAAGAAGAAACAAGTCCAAATGAGTTAAAAAGAGACAACCTCATTCACCCTCCTCCTTGCCCCCAGCCCTAGACAAGATCCCCACCAGCCCAGAAGTCCCCTCTCGTCAGGAGCTGAGGCTCCAAGCACAGCTGGTCTGCCCAGTGGTCTTTCCTTCCTGAAGCCAGCAGAACGAGTGGCAGGGGCTACTGAAAGAGCCTGCAGGGTTGTGGAGCCAATCTCCTAACTTCCTCTCAGGTTGGGTGCTGGAGAAGGGGGTGGAGAACCAATAGAAACTAGGTGAAGAGGTTGCAAGCCTAGAAAACGGGCAGGGGTGCCCTGGAGAAGATGGCGTTGAGGGAGGGACTGGGAGGGGGAGGGAAAGACTAGGAGTGTGGCTGCAGAGGGCCTGGAAGTGGGGATAGAGAGGAACTTACTGGGGTTCTCGGGGCTTCGTATGAGACATTGGGGGAAGGAGGCACTGCATCCTGACCTGTCCCCACCTCCAGACCTGACCTGTCCCCACCCCTTCTCTGGACCTTTAGACTGCCTGCTGCTTCTGCTCCTGGGGGAAGTTTCAGGAAGGGGCCTCAGCCAACCTATCCCTGCCTATCTCCCTGCCCTGCTGGCCCAGATGGGTCTGCTGCCCCCGCAGCATCCAGGAAGGCCACAGAAAAGGGACAGGGCCAAGGCGGCACGCATCTCTGAGAGTGGGACCTACTCTCTTTGCACGTGCGTGCGTGTGTGTGTGTGCGCGTGCGCGCGCGCGCATACTTACAAGATCACCACCCCTGGGGCAGGATGTGGTGATGAGAAAGGGAGTCTGACCACTCCCCCTTCCATACATTTTTACTCTTATTAATCTCATGCAGTCCTGTAGCTGAGCCTCTTGTAATTTTAATGCCCCTAGTATTTTTGGCAGCTGGAATTAAATAATTTAATTCCTTTTTTTTTTTAAAGACTTTATTGGGGAATTGGGGGAGTGGAACAGTGTTGGGGAATCGGGGAAGGAGAACAGACAGTTGCTGTCCTTTTGTTCTTCAGTCTAGTTGTGGAGGACTGTGCTTCACTGGCCCATGTTGATAATATCATTGTGCTGTTCCTGGGTGAGGCAGTCACTCGCAGGCCATTGGACAGCCGCTTACAGCAGCTCACGGCAGCTCACGAAAACTCACGCTCGCTGCCGACCAGCCCCACTGCAGCTTACGCTGTCACCGGCGACTCACGGGAGCCCAGCTCCAGGTGGAGCTGTTGTTCACCATCTTAGCTGTAGAGGACACAGCGTCACTGGCCCGCATGTGGGATCCAAACCGGGGCCCTGCTGCTCAGAGCTGGCATCCCAAGCCAACTCCTAACCAACGCGCCACTCGGCCCAGCCAATAATTTAATTCTTAATTAAGCCTTTGTTCACCTGTTAACCGCTCTTTCTGCTCAACTTTTGTTATGAGGAATGTAGTCATAAGTAGCTGATATGGTATTTCTTTGTCAAGCAGGAGGAGATAACTTCAAGGTCTCTAGGAGAACTTGAGTTTGTTTTGCAAGAGAGAATGTCTCCAAGGTAGCTGCTACCAGCTGCTGACTGACGCCTAGGAGTCTGATGTGAAAAAGTGTTACCTGTGACTAAAGAAACACACACTTCTCTCAGTTCCCTGAGACTTCCCCTCCCTTACTCCCCAGCCACATACAAACTCCTTACTTTTGCTTTTTGGGAAAGACAGATTTGAGAGATCTTGCTCTCCTGTCCTCTCACTTTGGCCAAATCGAATAAACCTTTCTATCTCTCCAAGCACCAGTGTCTCAGTGTTTTGGCCCACGAGTACATCGGGTATATGAACCTGAACTTGGGGAGGTGATTGGGTAACAGTCCCGTGACTTTGAATACCATTTACATGCTGATGGCCACCCCCACTAAAAAATCCCCCATATCTCCAACTCCTTTGTCTCCCACAAATTCCAGACTTATACATTTCCAACTGCCTGCTTAACATCTTCACATACCTAGTAAACTTAATGTGTGCAAACCCCAATTCCTGATGTCCAGCCCTCCCACCTGTTCCTCCCACAGTCTTCCCCACTTTTTTTTTTTTTAAAGATTTTTTTTTTATTGGGGAATTGGGGGGATGGGAACAGTGCTGGGGGATTGGGGAAGGGGAACAGACAAGTTGCTGTCGTTTTGTTCTTCAGTCTAGTTGTGGAGGATGTTGCTTCACTGGCCCAAGTTGGCACCATCATTGCGCTCTTCCTGGGTGAGGCACATCAGTCGCCGGCTTCTGGACGGCCGCTCACTGCGGCGGCTGGCCGCTCACGCTGGCTGCTGGCTGCTGGCTACATACGGTAGCCCATGGCAACCCACTGCCACAGGGACTGCAGCCTATGCCGTTGCTGGCGACTCACGGCAGCCCAGCTCCAGGGTGAGCTGTTGTTCAGCATCCTAGCTGTGGAGGGCAGTGTTCACTGGCCCTCATATGTGGGATCCGAACCGGGGACCTCTGGCATCCCAAGCGAGTTCTTAACCATCGCGCCACTCGGCCAGCCCATCTTCCCCACTTTAATAGCTGATAATTCCATGCTTCCAGTTGCTCAGTCCAAAAATCTTGGGTACTCCTGGGCCTTTCTCTCTCCCTCTCTTTCTTTCTCTCTCCCTCTCTCATCCCTCAACCAATCCTGCAAATACTGATAGCTCCACCGTCAATCTTTAAGGCATATTTGTGTCCAGGCTTGGTTCTCACACTGGGGGGGCGAACCCAGCAGAGTCTGGCTAGCTTCCCACACCGGGGGTCGAACCTGGGCGTCTGGGAGGAAAACTGGGAATTTTAGCTGTTACGTTGCCAGGGGTTGGGCCCTCCTTGGTGCAGTGTCCAGGTTCTTGGCATCTTGAGCAAAGAATTGAATGAGACACAGAGGTAAAGTGGTAAAAAAAAAAAAAAAGTGTATTAGAAGAGATAGTACACTCTGAAGAATCAGGAGCAGGAAGAGCATCAAGAAAAGTGGCTCAAGGCTCAAGGTGGCATCCAAGAGTTTGGAGCGGCCCCAAGCAAAGGCAAGGCTCAAGATGCTCAAAGGGCTGCGGCTCACAAGAGCCTGGGGTTTTATCTTTTTTTTCTCTGGGCTGGGCTGTTCCTCTCCAGGAGCCGGACCACTTGATTGACACCTGTGATTGATAAGGGGCTATTATCTCATCCTCTTAGACTGCGCATGTCTCTTCCCAGAGTTCAGTCTGTTATAATGATATTAATGAACTATTGGGCATATGTATGACATTACAATAATGGTATAATGAGGCTAGGTGAGGTAGAGGCCATTGTAGATCCCTATTGTATAGGATGGGTCTAATTTATTGTCTCTTAGTGTCCTCACAGTGGTTAATGGCTAGGGCAGATAAGGAGAAATTTGGGAGGTCTCCAGGCGGTGTTCCCCATAGATTGTGTTGATGTGTAGGAATGCAGAGACCCAATTACCTGTATCTAACTGCCTGCCTTGTTTTTCCTGAGAGACGTGATCCCCATAAATCTCTGTGGGGAGCTGAGAGTCGGGAGGTCTCTTCTTCTGTATCTGCTTCAAGCTGAGAAGGGGGTAGAGCTGTCCCTGCCTGCTGGGGATTCACAGAACTCTCACCCTATGTGTTCTTAAATAATAATAATAAAAAAGGAGTCTCTTCTTCCTTAGTTGGGGTGCACTGGAAGCCTCGCTGGGACATAACTTGTATCCCGAGAGCCCCTAAATGAGGAGAAACAGACATTGGTTAATAAATTAAAAGTACCAGCTCCAGGGATGGAACTCAAAGCCCATCTATCTTTTTCTGTGTGTGTGTTTTTTTTTTTTAGTTGAGCCATCCTACCACCTGTTAGCAGCTCAGTTTGGGCTGGGAGTCGAACTGGCGACCCTGTTGCTCAGAGCTTACACTCTTGAGTGAGCTCTTAACCAACTGAGCCATTCGGCCAGCCCACAAAGCCCATCTATCTTAACTTCAGATGACATTTGTTCACCCAGGGGTTAGGTTAGGTCTGGACTGGCCTGGAGGAGTGTTAAAAACCCTTTTGGTCTGTAGGATGGCTGTTTACTTATCCAAAAGTTAGGTCTGTCATGGCTTGGGGAATGTTGGACTACAATAATTACAGTTAACAAACTTAAGTCACAGGCTTTTAAGCAGTCATTGGAAGCAAAGAGGAGAAACATTCTGTGATTTAGGCTAGGAGCAATCTTTGGTTTAGGATATAAGAAACTGATTAGAAAAGTGATTAAGACCAGGGGCTAAGGAGTTAAGAAACTAAGGGAAAGGGAGACTTAAACTTCCTATAGTGAGGGAGGCTACAACTTTTATAGTGAGGGAACTCTCCTGTATCATTTGGAAATCACACTAGTCCATGCACTACCATCTCTCCTGGATTATTACAGTAGCTTTCTACCTGGGTTCCCTGATTCCACCCTTGCCTACCAACAGTAAAGTTTCTACAATGCAGCTAGAATGATCTTTTAAAAATGAAATCTTGGGCCGGCCGAGTGGCGCGTTGGTTAAGAGCTGGCTTGGGTTGCCAGAGGGCCCCGGTTCGGATCCCACATATGAGGGCCAGTGACACTGCCCTCTACAGCTAAGATGCTGAACAACAGCTCAACCTGGAGCTGGGCTCCCGTGAGTCGCCGGCGACAGCGTGGGCTGCAGTCCCCTGCTGCAGTGGGTTGCCATGGGTTACCGTGTGTCGCGAGCAGCTGTCCAGCCGGCGACTGATCTGCCTTGCCCAGGAAGAGAGCAATGATGGTGCCAACTTGGGCCAGTGAAGCAACGTCCTCCACAACTAGACTGAAGAACAAAAGGATAGCAACTTGTCTGTTCCCCTTCCCCCAATTCCCCAATAAAAAAAATCTTAAAAAAAAAAAAAGAAATCTGATCATTTCATGTCTGCTCAAAACAACTCCTGTGGCTTCCTATATCAGTAAAATCACAGCTATTCCCCTGCAAGTTCTCCTTTGTGACTTTATCTCTCTCTACTCTCCTACCTCTGATTCAGCGCTACCGGCCTTCTGCCCCAGGGCCTTTTAACTGGCTGTTCCCTCTGTGTGGTTCCCTTTCCCTAATCTCCAATTCCATCTCTTCCTTCAGGTCTTTGCTGTTTTCAGGGATGACACTATCTAAAAAAGCATTCCCTCCCTTCCACTATAGTACCCTTACCCTGTTTTATTTTTCTTCATAGCACTTATCACCACTAGATGTATTATAGATTTATTTATTGACTTATTGGCTTTATTGTTATAGATTTATTTATAGCCTTTGCACCTCATCCCAAGACACACAGGAATCTAAGCTCCAGGAGGGTAGGAACTTTGTTTTGTTCACTGGTTGATAACTTGTGCCTAGAACCTTTCCTAATCATGGGAGGCACTAAATATACGTTTACTGAATAAAAGTGACTGCTGGTTCACAACCTGGGGAGTTCCCTGGGTGGAATTTGAAACTGGCCTCCTTACATGGAGGGTGAGCAGAGATGGAAGAAAGAGGCAGACCACTCCAGGTTGGTAGGTAGCAGGTTTAACAAGCAAGAAAACTTACTTACAAGGCATATCCTGGGTGCCACAAGACAAGTAGATCTCTGCATCAGCCCACCAGAAACGTAAGAGTTTATATGGAGGCCTTAACTAGGTTTAGTCATGTACAAATTCTGACAATTAAGTTAGCAAACTTGCCACTGTGTGCTTACATTGGCAGCACTGTACAAACAGCTTGGTAATATTTCATAACCTTGGTATATCAGCGTCTTACAGCTGTGTTTGTGTTGACATATGGTGGTGTCTTGCCTAGTGGCGTTCATTATTGTTGTTGCACGTTTTCGTGTACCATAGCAAGACTGTCTGAGCTTGAATTACAGCAATGAACAAACATTAAATTTCTTGTTAAACTTGCCAAGAGTGGAAGTGAAATCATGTTAGTCCAAGTTTATGGAGATAATGCCATGAAGAAAATGGCAGTGTACAAATGATTAAAGTTTTTCTGAGGGGAGAGAATGCGTCACTGATGAAGGTCAGGGCAGCCAGTAATGAGCAGAAGTGACGAAAACACTGCAAAAATTCATCGAATTGCGTATCAAAATCATCAGCTGACTGTGAGAAGCATACCAGACCAAGTAAATATCAACAGAAAAAAAGTTAGGAAAATCTTAACTGAAAATCTTGGCATGAGAAAGGTGTGTGCAAAAATGGTCCCGAAGCAGCTCAATGATGAACAAAAGCAAAGGAGAATCAAAGTTTGCCATGACCTTTTGGAGAGGCAAGACAATGTTTTGGGCTGTGTTATCACTGGTGATGAAACATGGGTGTACCAATATGACCCTGAAACAAAGTGTCAAAGTGCACAGTGGAAGTCAGCCAGTTCTCCACCACCAAAAAAGTTCTGTCAGTCCAAATCAAGAGGCAAAACGATGTTGCTAAACTTTTTTGATATCAAAGGGATTATTCATTATGAACTTGTACCAACTGGACAAACAGTTAACCAAGTTTACTATTTGGAAGTGCTGAAAAGGCTGCATGAAAAACTTAGATGAAAACAACCTGAACTTTTCACCAACAATTCATGGCTCTTGCTTCACAACAATGCATCAGCTCACATAGCACTGTCTGTGAAGGAGTTTTTAGCCAGTAAACAAATAACTGTATTGGAACACCCTCCCTACTCTTTACCTGAAGATAAAGAAATGACTTTATCTTCAGGTAAAGGTTTTCTTTACCTGAAGATAAAGAAAACATTGAAAGGAAGACATTTTGATGACATTCAAGACATCACGGGTAATACGGCAACAGCTCTGATGGCCATTCCAGAAAAAGAGTTCAAAATTGGTTTCAAGGGTGGACTAGGCGCTAACATCAATGCACAGCTTCCCAAGGGAGTACTTCAAAGGTGACCATAGTGATATTCAGCAATGAGGTATGTAGCAGTTTTTCTAGGATGAGTTCGCAAACTTAATTGTCATACTTCATATGCCATCCAGATGGCCTCAGCAACACATTGCTCTCTCATGACTTTGTCCTTGAAGACAGCTCCCACTGTAAGAATAGTGGACAGAGCGTACATTCCAAGGACGGGTGTTGGTGGCTGAGGAGCTTCCTAATGCCCAGGTCCAGCTCAAGGGTCAACCAGCAGTTGTTCTCTCAAAGCTCTACTCCAAGTGATTCAGTGTAGGTATATGAGACTGTGTGTCCTGATGTTTCAGGGCATTTCCCGACAGTCTTTGCAGTTTGCTGCTTCAAACTGGTCCCCTCTTTTTTTTTTAAGATTTTTTTATTGGGGAATTGGGGGAAGGGGAACAGACAAGTTGCTATCCTTTTGTTCTTCAGTCTAGTTGTGGAGGACGTTGCTTCACTGGCCCATGTTGACATTGTGATCATTGCGCTCTTTCCCACTGAGGCAGACTGGTCACCAGTGATTGGACAGCCGCTCACGCTGGCTGCCGGTCACTCATGACAGCCCACTGCAGCCCCACTGCAGCCTATGCCGTCGCTGGCGACTCACAGCAGCCCAGTTGTAGACCAAGCTGTTGTTCACCATCTTAGCTGTAGAGGGCAATGTCACTGGCGCATGCGGGATCAGAACCAGCAGCCCTGCTGCTCAGAGCTCTCGCTCCCAAGCCAACTCTTAACCAACGCGCCACTTTGCCGGCCCAAACTGGTCCTCTCTTTAAAATCCAACTTAAGATGTCTCCTGCAAGCGTAGCATCAGTGTCTTTGTGGCTCTATAACTTTCCATCTTTCACGCCAGGGGCAGATCCAGGTTCTGTGGGGCCAGAAGCTTATATACTTTGGGGGATCTCTTTAAGAATACAAAAAGCAAACACATAATTAAATGTAAAAGTTAGCATTTATTTTGTTTGGGAAAATAAACCACAGCACATTACTGGAATCTTGGAGATTGGTTTCCTTCCTTTTTGAGATCTCCATGGACAATTTGCCTGAAGTGTTTCCTGACGGCAACTTCGCTTCCCCTCCCCACGGACACTACCGATTCCAGCTTTTTCAGCACTCACTTGCTTCACGGTAAACCCTCGCATCCCGCTCTTGCCCCCTTTCTTCGTTTAGAGCCCATCCTCCGGCAGCTCTACTGAGCTCACATGTAGAGCTCTCCTCCTAGTGCTCTCTCCTGCAAACTGGTGCATCACTGTTTGTTTGTTTGTTTTTTGGGGGGGGATGGGGGAGGGTTCAGCATCCCTCGGGAGCCACGGAGCCACGAAACATGACTTCTGTCATTACCTTCCTTACATGTTCCTGAAACATACAGGGCCTCAATTTTTCCATTTGTGAACTAGTGACTTGTACAGGGTTGTCCTGTGGCCTTCCATGTGAGGATCCTCGGACTACGGGGGACCAGGAGGGCTCCGGGGACGCTGAGCCCTAATTTAAGCGCTACCCAGCCAACACCCCCACCTCCGTTCCCGCAATTTATTAAGAAAGCCAGGTGTTCTGCCTGTGCCGCTGTCTCCTAGGTGACCTGGCTGAAGCCCATCTTTCTCTCAGGGTCTGAAGGGCATCGTGAAACGAGCTTTCAAGTTCGCCTTGCCCTCCCCTGCCCAGTCCCGGCGTGGCTAGGATCTAGAAAGACGACTTCATCCATTTCCAAAGACTCCGAGCTCTACCCGGCCACATTGCCTGGACGCGTCCCAGCCCAGGAAAAATCTCGCGATAAGCCCTCGCCAAACAGAAGTTGAGGCTTTTGGCCTTTCTTGGGTTCCGTAGCTCGGAGTCGCAGTTCCGGAATTAGTGTTTCCGGGTCGCGTCCGGGGTGAGGGGGGGAAAGCCTCGGCGGTGTTGCTAGCGGAACCAAAGCCTGGAGGTCTCAGTAAGTAGGGAATCGAGCCGAGCCTGAGCGTCCCCTTTTAGTCCCCTCCTTTGATTCTTTGAAGACCCTGGTGCAGCCTAGCAAGAGAGCTCAGGGTTTCTGGACCCCCAGACCTATGACTTAGGGGCTCTTGTCCAGGTTCCTCTCCCAGGATTTCGATTCAGTTCAGCGAGTTCACTGCTCTGAGAGAAGAGGAAATCGAGTCTTAGAGCACACCCCCGAGGCGCCTTTCACCAAGCCCCGGCCCCTCTCCCGGGGTCCTCTCGACTGGCACTGAGACCCCGTCCCTGCTCCATGCCCCCCTACTTTGGGTCCAAGGCCCCGTACGGATATCGGCCTCAGACATTCCCCTCAGTTACCATCGCCTGGTCTCCCTGACTGTCTACAGGACTAGGCAGCATGGCCGTATTCCGGTCGGGCCTCCTGGTACTGACGACGCCGCTGGCCTCCCTGGCCCCTCGCCTGGCCCCTATCCTGACCTCGGCGGCCCGGCTGGTGAATCACACGCTCTATGTACACCTGCAGCCGGGCATGAACCTGGAGGGCCCGGCTCAGCCCCAGTCCAGCCCCGTGCAGGCCACATTTGAGGTTCTCGATTTCATCTCGCACCTGTACGCTGGCGCCAACGTCCACACGCACCTGGACGTCAGAATCCTGCTGACCAATATCCGAACCAAGAGCGCCTTTCTCCCCCCCATGCCCAGCTCAGTCCAGAACCTGGCCCACCCGCCGGAGGTGGTGCTGACTGACTTCCAGACCCTGGATGGAAGCCAGTACAACCCGGTCAAGCAACAGCTAGAGCGTTATGCCACCAGCTGTTACAGTTGTTGTCCACAACTGGCTTCAGTGTTATTATACCCTGATTATGGGCCTGGAGAGCTGTCTGTGGAGCCCCTGGATGTCCCCTTACCCTCCACTATCAGGCCATCCTCCCCCGTGGCCAGATCTCCAAAGCAGCCCGTGCGTGGCTACCACCGTGGGGCCGTGGGTGGCACATTTGATCGCCTGCACAATGCCCACAAGGTGTTGCTCAGTGTCGCCTGTATCCTGGCCCAGGAGCAGCTTGTGGTGGGAGTAGCAGACAAAGACCTGTTGAAGAGTGAGTGAGAGAGACCCTGGATTAGGGTGGTGGAGGACCCCCAAAACTTACACCCGCCAATGCGAAGACTGAGGAAGGGTGGGGTCATCCATTACTTTCCACCCCCTCCCAAATGTCACAGTGCCTGACAGGCAGTTGGTGCTAAGGAAATTTTGTTAAGTGAATAAGGTCAGCTTTCTCACTGTGTGGTCTAGTCACCACTCAATCAGAGTCCCCCAAATGTGGAGCCAAGGAATCTGTACTTTTAACAAGTTCTCCAGGTGAGGAACCCTAAAGTTTGACACCCTGGGAATAAACGGATGAGTGAGTTGTAGGCAGTAGTGGCAGAGACAGTAAGAGGGAACTCGGGGATGACAGTTCTTGGAAGTCTCTGTCTGGCTCTGATGCTCACTGGCACTGCAAGTTCTCTGGACACATGCCAGCCTTTGCAGTGACCGTTGTGTTTGCCCGCTGCCTGCCCCTCAGCTTTCGCGTCACAGACCACTGCCCAGTTTAGCCCTTTCTTCCTGCCATCCCCCTCTGGAGATAGGATGCTTAAGGACGCCCTTCCCCAAACTGTTCCACACTTCCTCCCCAATAAAAAGATCTCACTGTTCTGGGCTCTTTCCTTAGGCAAGTTGCTCCCTGAGCTGCTCCAACCCTATGCAGAACGCGTGAAACATCTGAGTGAGTTCCTGGTGGACATCAAGCCCTCCTTGACTTTTGATATCATCCCCCTGCTGGACCCCTATGGGCCCGCGGGCTCTGACCCCTCCCTGGAGTTCCTGGTGGTCAGCGAGGAGACCTGTCGTGGGGGGATGGCCGTCAACCGCTTCCGCCTTGAGAATGTAACCCCTGAGGGATACTGGTAGAGGGAGTGGATGGGGACGGGGAAGGCCATTCTGGGGGGCTGTTGAAAGTACCATGACCCCAGAGGAGGGAAGAGAGGGCTCAAAGTGGTGGAAAGAGTCAAGGAGGAACTGGCTCTTTGGAGGCAAGCTCTACCTCTGGAGTAAGTAGGGGAGGATAACGGGGCAAGCTGGGTGTCAGTGTTTGCCCTTCTTCATCTTACCCCTTCCCTCTCTTTACCCCTCTTCCTTTATCTCAGGACCTGGAAGAGCTTGCCTTGTACCAGATCCAGCTACTGAAGGACCTGTGCCACGAGGAAAATGAAGAGGACAAAGTCAGCTCTTCCAGCTTCCGCCAGCGATTGCTGGGAACCCTGCTTCGGCCACCACATGTAAGCATGTCCTACCTCCCTTCCCCCTGCTTGTGTGGGCTGGAAATAGTGGAGGGTAGAGACTGAAGTGTTCACCCCAAGCATGAGCCCGAAGACCCTACTAACTGCAGGCTTCCCTCTAATACCCCCAGGAGAGTCCAGAGCTCCCCTCGTGTCTCTACGTGATTGGGCTGACAGGCATCAGTGGCTCTGGGAAGAGCTCAATAGCTCAGCGACTGAAGGGCCTGGGGGCATTTGTCATCGACAGTGACCAACTGGGGCATCGCGCCTATGCCCCAGGTGGTCCCGCCTACCAGCCTGTGGTGGAAGCCTTTGGAACAGGTAATAACTAGAAAGGGCTGGAGGAGGCCTGAAGTAAGGAGATGGCCTAGTCTTGCCCAGTCCTCTGTCTCTGTCATCCAGATATTCTCCATAAAGATGGCATTATCAACAGGAAGATTCTGGGCAGCCGGGTTTTTGGCAACAAGGTAAACACAATTCTGCAAGGGTTCTCAGCTGCTATAGACCCAGGGGTTGGGACCCAGTGGACCTCTCTGATCTGGCTCAGAATGCCAGTTCCCATTCATCTACTCCCTCCTTCCTTGGGCTGGCTCTGTCTCCAATGGGAGGTAACCACTGCCCATTCCCTCTGTCCTCCTCAGAAGCAGCTGAAGATGCTCACGGACATTATGTGGCCAGTTATTGCAAAGCTGGCCCGAGAGGAGATGGATCAGGCTGTGGCTGAGGGTGAGTGCAAAGGATGATGGGAGCAGCTAAGGGGCACAATTAAGCAGATGCTCCCTGGGGAGTTTCCCCATCCCAAGCCAGACCATCCACTTTCCCAGGGACTATGTTTCATTGGCTCTGTGGTAGCAAGTAGCAGGGTGCTGCTGGCAGTGACCGGGGGTCTCCCCACAGGAAAGCATGTGTGCGTGATCGATGCCGCCATGCTCCTTGAAGCTGGCTGGCAGAACATGGTGCATGAGGTGTGGACCGTTGTCATCCCTGAGACTGAGGTATCTAGACCCCACTGCCATCCAGTCCCCACTGCAGACTGCATCCTGCTCTGAGCCAGTGGACTGACAGATACCATGTCTGCACACAGGCTATACGACGAATTGTGGAGAGGGATGGCCTAAGTGAGGCTGCAGCTCAAAGCCGGCTGCAGAGCCAGATGAGTGGGCAGCAGCTTGTAGACCAGAGCCACGTGGTGCTGAGCACCTTGTGGGAGCCACATGTCACCCAGCTCCAGGTCGGTGCCCAGGGAAAGGCTGGGTTGTGGGGAGCAAGTTTCCAGTCGGTGTCTGCCTGACCCAGTCTTCTCTTCCCAACATTCCGGCCTGCCTAAAGGTGGAGAAAGCCTGGGCCCTCCTGCAGAAGCGCATCCCCAAGACGCCATCAGGACCATGACTGACAATGAGTTTTCTGTGGGGCTAGATTGGCCCCTCTCGGAGCTGACAAGATCCAGGGGTGAAGAGGAATGGGGGCCTCAATGCTCATCCTGGCTTGGGCCTTGAGCGCTCTGAGCTAAGCTGGGCAGGGCTGGGCCTGGTGGACACAGTAAGCCTACCTAGCTTGCTGGTGTTTGGCCAACACTGAAGATGTGGCTCATGGGGGAGCAGGCCCCTTTGGCATTCCAACCCCACTCTTGCCTACAGGTGTCTGATACCTACAGCTGACTGGGGCTGGGGTAAACGCTGGATCATGTAACAGAATTAAAGGTGAATGCTTCCAGGTGATGCCTGTATGGTGTCTGTTTCCTGCTCCTGGATGTTTTTGGGTATCTTTGGGGCACTTGAGCCACAAGTGCAGGGCCCAGGCCTGAGCTGGAAGCCAGGAGTACAGTGGCTAAGAGCATGGCCTTTGGAGCTAGCCAGACTGAGGCCCGCCTTGGCTCTATCACTGACTAGCTGTGTGCTTTTGGACAAGTTATATAGGCTTTCTAGGCTCCTCAGTTTCTTTAAAGTAGCATAACTTAGCTACAGTCTCTTCGAAAGCATTAATTCCACAAGTATCCTGCCAGACGCTGGGCTGGGTGTTGGAGGACCATCCTTCAACAAGCCAAGCGGTCTTCTGCCATCACAGAACATGCAGCCTGTGAGGTAGGACAAGGTGGCCAGGACTGCAAGTCGTGGTGAGCGGGCAGGCTGGCCTGGGGGAAAGGCGTACCCAGGAGCCGGCCTGGCCTGGCAATGTCGTTTGCACAACTATCTGTGACATTATTAGGACAAGCCTTTTGAGGGGGAACCCATTTCACAGAACGGGCTTGTCGCTGCAACTCCAGAATGCCTACCCCAAGGGAAAGGGAGGGACTGACAGGGAGGACGTCCCCAAGGCCACGTGCGTCACCCGGAATACCAGGATCCGCCCACTCTACAGGTTGGGGGTCTTCGGAATGCGCACGCGCACCATACTTGCTCCGCCTCCGCCCTTCAGTTGCGGGTTGGTGGGTCTGAGTCACGTGGGCGCGCCTCGCCTTTTCTTCGCTGCTGGGGACCCGCCTGGTGGCAGATATCCGGTGCTGTGAGTCTGAGATGACGGAAACCGGCGCCTCTCCGGAGGACCCCTGGGTCAAGGCAAGCCCTGTGGGCGCGCACGCTGGTGAGGGGAGAGCGAGTCGGGCGCGTGCACGTAGGGAGTCCGGAAAATGAGGGGAGTCCTTCCGGTCCCCAGAGCACCGCCACCCCATCTCCGGGGCTGCAGAGAAGACAGCTCTCCCCCGACGTGTGCCAAAGTGGGGAGACAACTGAGGCGTGTGCGCGCGAGTGTGAGGGGACGGAGTTTAGGGCTGGGGAGGTGGACTGGGGCGGGCGGGATAATGCCAAAAGGTGGCGCTCCCACGGCCTGGCCAGTCTTGACTGTGAGTGGGGGTAGGGAGAGAATCCTTCAGTTGCTTGCACACCGGGTGTGTGTGTGTGTGTGTGTGTGTGTGTGTGTGTGTGTGTGTGTGTGTGCGCGCGCGCGCAATTCACAGGGATGTAAAGAACGTGTGTGTGTGTACACGCGCAGAGTGTGTGTGTGTGTGTGTGTGTGTGTGTGCGCGCGCGCACTCGCGCAGAGTGAATGGAAGCGACTTCCCCCAGGGGCGGAGATCTGATGAGTTTCTCTCTTGCTTGGTGCCGCAGGTGGAGTATGCCTACAGTGACAACAGTCTGGACCCCGGTGAGTGCCTCTCACATTGTCTTCAGCTCTGGAGTGACACTCCTACTTCAGCCTTATAGATTCGCACCACACCTGACCACAGTCCACTGTCCCTGAGACTGAAACAGTGAGGGAGAACCTGGAGGACAGGGGCAGGAAGCATCCGAGGGTGACACCTAGTTCCCTGTGTTCTGGAGCAGGGAAATGATGGAAATAGTGACAGCTGGTCACTTTCTCACCCTCCTCATGCCCAGATGTTACTTTGTGAGCCAAAGGGTATCATTGTAGGTCTGTGGAGCAGTATAGGCTGTGGGGACAGGAGCATTCCAACATGGCACTACAGGAAGTGGTGGACCAGGATGGCTGACTTTTGGGTTGAAGGGGAAGGGTCAGCATTTAAGGATCAGGAAGCCATTATGCCCACAGGTATCTGAGGGCCTAGCAATGCCCCTCGCCCCTTACCCTTTAGTGATTGGGGCCTCTTTTTTCCAGGGCTTTTTATAGAAAGCACCCACAAGGGAAGTGTAGTGTCCAGAGCTAATAGCATCGGTTCCACCAGTGCCTTTTCTGTCCCCAACACCGGTAGGCAGCAACATTCCCCCCACTTAGCTGGGCTCAGATATACCATGGTTTTAGGATCTTTCCTAGACAGGAAGCTCCAGCCATCCACATGGGGGTGCTAGAGCCCTAGATCTAGACGCAGGGTCTCACCATCTTTCACCTCATCTACACTATTAGGTTCCCATGTTCATCTGCCATCTGGGCACCAGGTTCTTATTTCCAGTTAGGGAAAGGTGGACTAGCTGGGCCTCACTGGGCCCCAGAATGACCTCTCCCGTCCCCAACTCTGAGTGTAGATGACGAAGACAGTGATTACCACCAGGAGTCCTACAAGGAGTCCTACAAGGACCGGCGGCGGCGAGCACACACTCAGGCTGAACAAAAGAGGAGGGATGCCATCAAGGTGACTGGAGGGCCCTGCATATTCCAGATTCACTGTGTCCTAACCCCATCAGACAGTCCCGAGCAGCCTTGGGGGCAGGTAGTCTACCCTGGACATGAATACCTCCCTCCTTCCAGCCCCTCACCTTTTAGTTTGTGAGCGTGGAACTTGGTGTCATGGAAGAAAAGTTTTGTGCCAGTTTGTTTGCCTTAGCCCCTCAGAATTAAGGAACCCATTTCTCTTGCTTCTCCACAGAGAGGCTATGACGATCTTCAGACCATCGTCCCCACCTGCCAGCAGCAGGACTTCTCCATTGGCTCCCAAAAGCTCAGCAAAGCCATCGTTCTACAGAAGAGTATGGTTGGGGAGAGCACTGGAGGGGTTGGACCCAGTGGGGCTGTGAGGTGGCTAGCCTCATACCCACTTTCAGCCTGGCCCTGGCGGGGTGGTTGTAACGAGAGAGCTGGGGAAAGGGGAAACAAAATCAGTCTTGTCCTTCTGGCTGAGACGTCCTCTGTGCTCACCCCCTCTTCCCACCCCCACCCTAGCCATTGACTACATCCAGTTTTTGCACAAGGAGAAGAAAAAGCAGGAGGAGGAGGTGTCCACTCTACGCAAGGACGTCATGGCCCTAAAGATCATGAAAGTGTAAGGGTGCTGAGCTGCGGGAACTAGAGCTTCTGCTGGGACTCAGGCCACATCAGATAATTCACTCTCTCAGGTGGCTACTTAGAGACAGGAGTCTGTACTCCAATAGTCCCTAACACATAGGAGACTCTGGAAAGGCCTGCTGGATTAATGAAAGGAAGGCTGGAGAAGATGTGTCTCCCATTTTTTACCTAGAAGCAATATTATAGCTTTGTTGACTATATCCCAAAAGCTCTCTGGAAATCCCCTTCCTGGGGGGATACATAGGGTAACCCTGTTGTTTTTCCTGGGCTGGTAAAGCTGCTTCAGCACCTTAGCCCCGACCTGCTTGCTTTCAGGAACTACGAGCAGATTGTGAAGGCACACCAGGACAACCCCCATGAGGGGGAGGACCAGGTCTCTGACCAGGTGAAGTTCAACGTGTTTCAAGGCATCATGGACTCCCTATTCCAGTCCTTCAATGCCTCCATCTCCATGGCCAGCTTTCAGGAGCTGTCGGCCTGTGTCTTCAGCTGGATTGAGGAGCACTGTAAGCCTCAGGTATGGGACAGCAGTGGTCACGGGCTCTGGGATCTTCTCCCTGCCCTGAGGCAAAGTGGCCCAAGCCATTTTCAGAAGAGCAGGTAGCAGCTTAGGTTTCTTCAGGGTGTTTCTACAACTTTCAATATTCTGGTATTCCCCTTATTTTCTAAAGCCCAGATTTTCCTGTTACGGTTTCATTTAGCGAGTATGACTGAGTACTTACTCCTACAAGGCTGAGCTCGGCCTTGGTTTTAGCCCATGTTGTGGCCGCTTGGGTCACTCCTCGGCTGCCCATTATGTAAGCCCCCGTCACTCGCAGCAGAATTACCTGTGGCTTTTGGAAAGATCCCCGGCCCCCACCCCAGGGCTTTTTGGTACTATTTGTAATGGTGTAGTATTACACTGAGTCTTCTGCTTTTGAGGCCTGGTTGCTTTTTCTGAGGCTTGAACTTGTATCTGAGATTCTTGCTTTCTTTGTTTGTTTTCCATCATTTTTATTGTGAGACACTTTAAACATACTGCAACATCAAGAGAATTTTTACAATGAACGTTCAAATACCTACTACCTAAAGTCTACCATTAACCTTTTTTGCATTTATCACATAGCTGTCCACACCTCCATCCCTTTCTCCATTCTGTTTTGGGGCATTGCAAAGTAAACTGTAGACATCTGCTTCCAGGGGGCTAAGGAGCACACCTGATCTAGGCAGGTGTCACTGAGACAGCTTTGTGCCCTCACCTGAGCATCATCTCTTTCCCTGCTGCCCCCACCAGACCCTACGGGAGATCGTGATCGGCGTCCTGCACCAACTGAAGAACCAGCTTTACTGACTGGCTGTAGGCACCTGCAGAACAGCCAACAAGAGGCCTTGAGTCTTCTGCTCGGCCAGAGCTGCTAGGCTCGTGAGATTGGACCATCCGCCAGTCAGCTGGTTTCTCCTTGGTTTGGCCCCCTCATCCTCCGGAGGGCTGGGGTATTTGTTTTGTGAAAGCTCCTGATTAATTTATTATATTGACCATAGAGCTCGAATCTACCCAGTCTTCCCCCTGCTCCCCACAGAAGTCTTTGGGATAGGGGCCTCTCTGGGACCCCAGAGAGCTTCTGGCCTCTCCCCTTTTTTGTAAGCCTCAGATTTTGGCTCTTGATCTACACATATTGGGAAACTACTGTTTGTCTCTGTTTTGGTCTCCTATGCAACAATTGACCCAAGTTTGGCCTTTTGGTAGTAGTTGGACGAGAGGAAAAAAGTAAAAGGAAATACTCCCAGCGCCATGAAGGGTGAAAGGCCTCCTCGTGCCTAAGCTAGAGCTGTCTGTCAGCCCAAGGTGAAGCCAGGGCTTTCTGGCCGGCTCAGGGCAGGGCTGCCAGGTTCCTGCCCTCACCTCCCACTCTATCACCTCCCTCCTCCCCACTCTGGGTAGTACAGTGAGACAACCTCTCCACCTGCTCCTGCCCTCTCTGTCCCCACAGGCAGTAGCACTACACAACAGACAAGAGGGACACAGCACCACATGTTAAAGTTTTTATTTTTCTAAATACCAACAATACAGTTTTGCTAAAGTTACAATTTTAGAAAATTAACTGGTCCTCAAAACTACTCCCAGTCTTCCTGTCAGATGTATCTGGGTCGCTACCATCTGAGTGCTGCCTACATTTGTCCCAGGACTTGGGGGAGGGGTGAAAGGGTGAAGGCCACCTGGGATATAGAGCCCAGGAGAGTCTGGGGTGGCCCTGGGCACCTTGAATGCTGTGTATAATAGCCTCTCTGTCCCCCTGTCCCCCAGGCTCCCTTTTGCCTTCCTCAGGTTTGATGTCTGGAAGGTTTGATTATCCAGAGGAAATTAAATATTTTTGTATCAAATTATATTACAATAAATATTGGCAAATGGTTTCCTTTAGCATTGTTCCAAGTCTAATGTTAAGCTCAAGCAACTGAAACGTGGACGATGCAGTGAGTATGACCATCCACTCCAGGCAACCAGTGCTGCCTCCCTTTGCCTAATACTCTGGTTTATGCCCCTCCCAACTGCTGTGTTCAAAGGTGGAAAGCAGCAGAAACAACAAAAAGCTGGCCTGAACACTTCTGTCTCCATCCCCTAGTCCTGCCTGAGGAGCTTTCAGGGGTCTGGGAGGGTGACGTTGTAATCTTCATCAGTCTCTATGCCAACTTCCTCCTGTAGGGCAGCAAGACAACTGAATGAGGCCTCCCTGGATGAAACCCCAGGGGAGCAAGGAAGGGAGACAGAACCACTTACAAAGAACTGCTTCTTGCTCTTGGGGTATCCTTCAAGGATTGCATCACACAGCTCTGTTGCCTGACAAGAAACAAAAGGACGCCTTTGCAGAAGGGCAGTCCTTGGTACTGACAGATTCACGAGATTGGGCAGTCGTTTCTCTGGGGGGATGCCACTTTCCAGGGCCTGCCTTGGAGTCTCTTCACTTACCAACCTCTTGCGCTTCCTCCACTCCTTGCAGTACTTCTGCTTCTCTCTGTACACCTAGACCAGAAACCGGTTCTTCTGAGCCCTCAGCCCCAAAGTAGCCGCAGGGGTCAACCCTTGTCCTCATTCCTCTGCACAGGCAGCCCTCCCTCCCAACCCACCTGCTCTTTCTCTTCTGGGGTCACATGGTTGGTGGCTGCTTTGATGTTCTTCAGTCTTTCTGTGTAGCCAGCACATTCCTTCTTTAACTCTTGGATCTCTTTCTGCATCTCCGGTGTGGTCAGGGCACTGTTTAACTCCTTCAGCTCTGAAACCACATCTCCCTGAGGTTGCTTGCTACCCCCAAGGAAGGGATTCTTTCTTTCCCAGTGGGCGCTCCCTGAGGGCAGAGACCGGGCCTCCACTTGCCCTGGGTTCTACACACACGGTCCAGAATGGGCCCCTTATTCTGGAAATGCTCAGGAGCAATTAAGGTTTAGAGAATTATCAGTTTATTCTAGTTTCCTTTCCTCCCCCATAGTGGTAGGGTGCAAGGCTGACAGACTGTTAGCTGTAGCCAGTTAAAGTAGCAGGAAATAAGAGAAAGTGTGGGAACACTACTAATAATGGTGGTAGGGAAAGCAAATGCATGTCTTGCCCATTTGTATTTCAAAAGCCGTGAGTTGTCATACATTTCTTATAATGCAATGTCTATGGCAGCCAGCAAAGGGGTTTTCACTGCAACAAGACAACACTGCAGTCAGCAAACCATTCACTTAGAATTCCTGACCTTCAGACTGACCCTGACACTAGAGGCACCTCCGGGGTCTGCCTAGTCCTACCAGCTTCCATGTGACGGCAACTCTGCTGCAAATGCTGCACCTTGGCAGCGAGGGCCACGATTTTGGCGTCCAGGCCTTGAAGATCGGCATCACTCACCATGTCAAATTGGTCCTGCCAGAGACAAAAGGAAAAAGGAGTGGGCTGATGTGTGGCATGGGATGGGAGCCCACATCTGGAAAGGCAACATTCACACACACTCAAGAACCTGGGACTCCCCAACCCTCTGAAGGGCCTGGGAAAACAGAGGGAAGGTACTTTTGCGAAATCATTCAGCTTAGTGCTGGGTCTAGCCAAAAGGTATCAAAGTTGAAACCTGATGCTTGTCCTCAAGAGGCTTCTAGGTTGGGAGGACAATGATTAGGACAGAAATATCTTTCAAACATCTTAGTTTGAATCAAACATCTCACTGGGTTGAAGGAGTAAAGAAACATTCTTCCCAAAGTGGTGATACCTAAATTATGGATTTCCATGAGGAAGAATCTGGACAAAGAGTTGTGGTGGGAGATACTTAGTTAAGGGACTCTAGTAAAGGTCTGAGGAGCCTCTCCCATGAGACGAGCTGCTAGAAAAGGACTGTGCTGTGGCTCAGTGGGGGTCTTGTCAGCTGGTAAGCGGAAGCAGGTTAGAAAGGACATGAATGCCAGCCTGGGCCACCTGGGCTCTACGTTAAGGCAAAGTACATCTTTAGCGCAGGAATGCAAGACAAATCCTGCCAGATGCATATTTTTGAAAACAAAAATATACTGAAACACAGCCACACTCATTCATTATGTACTGTCTGAGGCTGCTTTTGCTCCACAGTACTGGCTTGCGTAGTCGTGACAATTGTGTATCTGTGACAAGAGACCATCTGGAAAGCATAAAAATAACTGGCTAGCCCTTTACAGAAAAAATTCTGCCACCTTCTCCTTTAGGGGATCTTCAATAGAATAATAATATAATGAAACCTATTTTAGGACAACTAGCCTTGATGGTGGTTTGGTTCAGTTAAATGAGTAATGTCTATTGGATGTTAGATACTGAGGGGGTGCTAAGTAAAGAAAGATGAATGAGAAATGGGGTCTGGGCCGGCCAAGTGGCTCAGTCGGTTACGAGAGCGAGAAATGGGGTCTGCCCTAGGACAGTGTAGTGAGGGAGACGAGTAAAAAGACAATTATACTAAAATATGCCTCAGAAGAAGCAAGCACCTGAAGAAGAGGCAATTAGAGCATTCTGGGAAGGTTTCTGGAGGGGACGCCTGAGTGAAATCCTAAAGGATGAGTAAGAGCTGTGCAGATGCCGACGAGGAGGAAGGGACTTAAAAACCTCCAGGCAGAGGAAGGTCAATGAGCAAAGGACACAGGAGTGAAACATAAATGGTCCAGTATTAATGGATGTAGAAATAATGGACAGGGGAGCTGAGAGGCAGGCTGGGACCTGTTCCAGAGAGCACTAGAGTTTAGAGAAATGGCATGACTGGATTTGCATTAACACAGATAACTCTGGTTGCAATGATTAAGATATGTCTGAGGAGGCCAGGAGATCTCTTAAGATGATATTGAAATAGATGAGCAGTGCCTGAACTGGAGCAGTGATGGCAGACACAAAGGAGAGGATGGATTCAAGAAGGGAACAGCAGCTGGACTTGGCGGCTGACTACGCATATGAGGTAAGAGAAGTTCAAAATGAATCCCGAGTCTCTGGCTTGGACGAAGAGTGATTTCACTAAGAAGGATGTAAGAGGAGCCAGTTTAGGGGAGAGAGGAGGCTTTCTATTTTGGCAGTAATGATTCTGGTGGAGGTCTCCAGGTGGAGGTCTGGGCTGCAGATACAAAATGTGTGTGTTTAAGGGGGGGGGAGTGGAGACAGAAGGAAAATCATTTGGCAGACGGTGCTTCTAATCTAGATGATTGGGAATAAGAACTTCCAAGCGGAAATGGATCTTAGTAGAAATAATTCAAAATTTTCTGTTGTCTATCATATTTTAAATCTGGAAATCTCATGAAGTATGGATCATATCAAGAGGAGTACACACTTGGATTTAAAGGACAGCTAGGTCTCTGCACCCTCTCAGAGCTCGCAGCAGGCCACAGAAGAAACTGTAGCAGTGAAAAAAAGAAAGAAACTGTAGCAGTGAGTGTTGGGTTAAAAAGCATATCTACAGCCCTGGGAACTGAAGAGACAGCTCCTAAGTGGCGGACGCACATTGTGGCTAATCCCAGAGAGAAGGGTGAAGATACAGAGGTGAGGAAGCTCAGGTCTGGCAGTCGCCATTACTGGGAGGAGAGCACAAGTCACAAACACACTAGCAGCCTCTCCCAGCCCACTCTGCCCCCTCTCATTAAGGTTGATCCCAGAGGGGGCACCTCAGGCAGCGCAACACTGCATCTGGCTGCTGGGGCAGTGCCATGATTTCAGGGGCTCAGAAACCCACTGCCTACCACATTCTCTCATGGGTGGTGCCCTGAGACCGAGGTGACCTGGTCATCGAGGAGAGGCCCACATCCCCAGGGAATACAAGGCATTTTCCACCGCCCAGCAGAAATCCAAGAAGCTGGAGCAGTGCAAGAGAAAATAAAACACTTGTGCTTCAGCACCACCTACTGGAAAACAAAAGAAAAACCTGATGAACCCGCTAAAGAAGTACCACTCTTTAAAAAAGGGGGTGGGGCAGAGTTCATTCCCATAAATGGCTAGGCAGAGAAATAATGCATCAAATACCATGCACAACTAAGGTAACAAGGCAGCTCAGAAAGAAAATTTAAAATCTCCAGAAAATAAACTTAAAGACATGGAAATAGATTGTTTAAATGACAGAATCCAAGACTGCGGTTCTCAAAAAGGTCAATGAGATGAAAGAAAACTCAGATCGGCAGTTTAATGAACTCAGAAATAAAATTAACAAAAGGAATACTCTATGAAAGAGACTGAAACTTTAAAAAAAAAGAACCAAATAGAAATTCTAGAGCTGAAGACCTCAATAAAAGAGATGAAGAATGAAATAGCAAGCTTAGGAAGTAGAGTTGACCAAAAGAAGGAAAGAATTAGTGACATCAAAGATAGAAATCTGGAAATGACACAGATGGAAGAAGGGAGAGACTTCAAAGTTGAAAAAAACAAAATAACTCCATTAGAAAGAACTATCTGACTCTATCAGAAAGAACAATGTAAGAATGATGGGTATACTAGAAGGAAAAGAGAGGGAGAAGAGAACAAAGAGTCTATTCAAACAAATTGTCGATGAGAATTTTCCAAGCCTATGGAAAGAACTGGATCCTTGAATCCAAGAAGCAAACAGAACACCTAAGTATGTCAATCCAAAAATACCTTCTCCAAGGCATATTATATTAAACCTGTCAAAAACTAATGACAAACAGAATTCTCAAGGCAGAAGGGAGAAGATGGTAACCCATAAAGGAAATCCCATTAGATTATCATTCAGACATAGAGACACTGAGGGAATTTTCTACCACAAGGCCTGCATTACAGGAAATACTGAAGGGGGTTATTCTATCTGAAACAAAAAGACAAAAGGATACAAAACTATGAGTAAGATGACTAACAGACAGACAATAGGGCAGTATACACTTAAATATAACATAAAGGAGGTAGAGAGAGAGAGAGGAGACAATAGCTACTACAACTCAGAAATGAGCTCACAGCATAAACGGTTAATTTGTGACAACGAAATCATAATAGGGGAGGGGGTAAAGGTCTGAATTGGCAAAGGGGAATGAAGATAAGATGCATGCAGAAGAAAAAGGACTACTGTATATATGAAACTTTCTTTACATAAACTTAATGGTAAGCACACACACAAAAAAATTCATAACTTAGGTACTTAACATAAAAAAAGAGGAAACAAGAAAAAAATCATAGACTACCACCAAATTAAAACAACTGACAGAAACACAAGGGCACAGAAACAATGGAGACACTGAGTTACCAGAAAACAAAAGATAAAAATGACTTATAGTTAATCCTCATATATCAATATTCACCCTAAATGTAAAATGGAATGAGTTCACCAATTAAAAGGCACAGAGTAGGGCCGGCCGAGTGGCGCGTTGGTTAAGTGCTGGCTTGGGACGCCAGCTCTGAGCAGCAGGGCTCCGGTTAGAATCCCACCTGAGGGCCAGTCACGTTGCGCCCTCTACAGCTAAGATGGTGAACAACAGCTCGACCTGGAGCTGGGCTGCCATGAGTCGCCAGTGACAGTGTAGGCTGCAGCCCCTGCTGCAGTGGGCTGCCATAAGCTACCGTGTGTGGCCGGCAGCCAGCGTGAGTGTCCTGCAGCTGGTGTGAGCTGCCATGAGCCGCTATGAGTGACCGTCAAGAGGCCAGTGACCGACCTGCCTCACCCAGGAGGGGCACATTGATAATACCAACATGCGCCAGTGAAGCGATGTCTTCCCACAACTAGACCAAAGAACAAAAGGACAGCAACTTGTCTGTTCCCCTTTCCCTGATTCCCCAGCGCTATTCCCCTCCCCCAATTCCCCAATAAAATCTTTTAAATAAATAAATAAAATTTAAAAAATAAAAGGCACAGAATAGCAGATTGGATAAAAAAAAAAAACCCAACCATATGCTGCCTTCAAGAGACACATCTCAACTGCAAGGACAAATATAGACTCAAAGTGAAAGGGTGGAAAACGATACTCCAAGAAATGGCATTCAGAGAAAAGCAGGTGTAGTTGTACTTATATCTGACAAAATAGACTTCAAGATAAAAAAGGTAACAAGAGACAAAGATGGACATTTCATAATGATAAAGGGGTAATACATCAAGAAGACATTAACGCTTACACTTATCAATATACATGCTCCCAATCAGGGAGTACCAAAATACATAAAGCCACTCCTAACAGAACTACAGGGAGAAACTGACAAAAACACAATAATAGGTGAGGACCTAAATACCCCACTGACAGCTATGGATAGATCATCCAAACAGAAAATCAGTAAGGAAATATTGGTCTTAAATGACACATTAGACCAAATGGACATAATCGACATTTACAGAACCTGTCATCCCAGAACACCAGAACACATTCTTCTCTAGTGCACATGGAACATTCTCAAGGATAGACCATATGTTCAGACACAGAACTAGCCTCAACAAATTTTAAAAGACTTTAATCATACTAAGCATATTCTCCGACCACAATGAAATTGGAGATCAACTGCAAAAAAGAAAGTGGGAAAAGCCACAAATATATGGAGATTAAACAACATCCTATTAAAGAACGACTGGGTCAAAGAAGAAATTAAAAAAAAAAAGCGATAAAAAATACACAGAAATAAGAATGGAAATACAATATATCAAATACAGCAAAAGCAGTAATAAAAGGGAAGTTTATATCACTACAGGCCTATCTCAAGAAATAAGAAAAATCCTAAATAAACAACCTAAAATTACATCTTAAATTAGAACAATAAGAACAAATGATACCCAAAGTCAGCAGAAGGAAAGAAATAATAAAAATTAAAGCAGAGTTAAATGAAATAGAGAATAGAAAAAATTAATGCAACCAAGAGCTGGTTCTTTGAAGAGATTAATAAAATTGACAATCCCTGGCTAGACTCACTAAGGAAAAGAGAGAAAAGACACAAAATCAGAAATGAAAGAGAAGTTACAGTGGTCACCATAGAAATACAAAGGATGTGCCACCAAATTCAATAGCCTAGAAGAAATGGACAAGTTCTTAGCAATATATAACCTTCCTAGACTAAATCATGAAGAACTGGAAAAATCTAAATAGACTGATCAACAGTAAGGAAATCGAAATAATCATCAAAAACCTCCCAAAAAGTAAAAATCCAGATGGCTTCACTAGTGAATTCTACCAAACATTCAAAGATGATTTAACACCTGTCCTTTTCAAACTCTTCCAAAAAATTGAAGAGGCAATACTTCCTAACTCATTTTATGAGGCCAACATTATCCTGCTACCAAAACCTGGTAAGGATAACACAGAAAAAGAAAACTATAGACCAATATCTCTGATGACTATAGATGCAAAAATCCTAAACAAAACACTAGCAAATTGAATACAATACATTAAAAAGGTTATACATCATGATCAAGTGAGGTTCATTTCACGGGTGCAAGGATGGTTCAACATGCAAATCGATCAATGTGATACACCACATAAACAAAATAAAGGATAAAATCATATGATCATACCAATAGATGCAGGAAAAAGCATTTGACAAGATATAACATCCATTTATGATTAAAACACTTAGTAAAAATGTGTATAAAAGGAAAGTACTTCAACATAATAAAGGCCCATAAACCCTAAAGGCTCCACCAAAAAACTAATAGAAACAATAAACAAATACAATAAAGATGCAGAATACAAAAATCAATGTACAAAAATTCATTGCATTCTTACATATACTAACAATGAAATTTCAGAAAAAAACAATTCCTTTTGCAATGGCAACAAAAAAGAATAAAATACCTAGGAATAAACTTAATAAAGGATGTGAAAGACCTATACACTGAAAACTACAAGAAAAACTGAAGAAGACACCAAGAAATGGAAAAATATTCCATGTTCATGGATTGGAAGAATCAACATAGTTAAAATGGTTGTATTACCCAAAGCAATATACAGATTTAATGCAATCCCTATCAAAATCCCGATGGCATTTTTTAAAGAAATAGAACAAAAAATTATCAAATTTGTATGGTATTACAAAGGACCCCAAATAGCCAAAGCAATCCTGAGAAAAAGAACAAAGCCAGAGGTATCACACTCCCTAACTTCAAATTATGCTACAAAGTGACAATAATCAAAACAGCATGGTATTGGCAGAAAAACAGACACATAGGGCCGGCCAAGTGGCGCGATGGTTAGGAACTGGTTTGGGACGCCAGAGGGCCCCGGTTCGGATCCCACATATGAGGGCCAGTGACGCTGCCCTCCTCAGCTGAGATGCTGAATGGCGGCTCAACCTGGAGCTGGACTTCCGTGAGTCGCCGGCCATGGCGTAGGCTGCAGCCTCTGTGGCAGTGGGTTGCCATGGGCTACCGT